TTTTTTTAAAAAATTTCTTTGTGCCCTTAGTAATGCATCCCTCCAACCCATTCCCAGGCAACCATGGATCAGCATTTTGTCACTGTAGATTAGCTGGAATCATCTAGTATTTTACATAAGTAGAATTATATGGTATGTACCTATTTTTTCTTTGTCCAACTTTTTCAACTCAGCATAATGAGTTTGAGATTCACCTGTTTTGTTTCATAGATCAATAATTCATCTTTTTTCATTACTGAGTAGCATTTCGTCGTATGGAAATACCACAGTTTATCCATTCACCTGTTTGTTGATGGACATTTAGGGGTTCCTCCCCATCCCCATGTTTGGCTACTATAAATAAAGCTATTATGAAATTTGTGTACAGATTTTCTGATGGACATTTATATTTATTTCTCTTAGGCAGATAAGTAGGAGTAGAATGGCTAGGTCATATAATTTTTAAAGAAACTGCCAAACCGTTTTCCAAAGTGGTTATACCATTTACAACCCACAAGTAGTGTATATGAGATCCAGTTGCTCTGTGTCCTAGTCAACACTTGGTGTAGTCAGTCTTATAGTCAGTTTTATAGTTTTAGGTTTTCACATTTAGGCCTTGATCCTTTTCAAGTTATTTTTGTGTTATTATTTAGCGGACTTGCTTTGTTTTTAATCTCAGGGGAAGATGATTCCGTCTTTTATCATTAAGCACCACGTTGGTTCACCGAGGCCTCTATCAGTTAGTCTGAGGACTTTCCCTATTACTCCTGGTTTGTCATGAATGGGTGCTGAATCTTTTTTAATGCTTTCTCTGCATCCATTGAAATGATCACGTATTATCTTCCATTATTCTGTTAATATGGCAAATTTCACGGGTTTTCAAAGGTTCAGCCAGCCTTTGGTATATAGGCCATTGAGCATTTACTGAATTATGGAAGTGACTGAATTTAAGCTACTGTTTTATTATTTGTTTTCTGTTTGTCCCTTATGTATTTCATTTTCTTTTTCTTCCTTTTCTGCCTTCTTTTGGATTGAGTGTTTCTTAGTATTCCATTTTAATCTACCTATTGGCTCTCAGGTTATATCTCTTTGTGTTAATTTTTTACTGGTTGCTCGAATCATCCACAATCTACTTGGAATTAACTTTGTGCTATTTCACGTAAAACACAGAAACCTTGCAACCAACTGTAGACATCTCTTTACCCCTGCCCACATCCTTTTGCTGTAGGTGTCAAATGTGTTATTTTTACATACATTGAAAACTCCATCAGACTTACTTTAAAATAGTGGTATATATTTTAATGAATGAAAGAGGAGAAAAGTAGACTTTTATATTTATTCAATTATTTGTTCTTTCTTCATCCCTGAAGGTACAAGTTTCCTTTTTATCATTTCTCTTCAGCCTAAGAAACTTCTTGAACATTTCTTTTTGAGGAATCTGCTGGTGAATTCTGCTAGTTTGTCTTCATCTGAGAAGGTCTTTATTTTGTCTTTATCTCTGCAAGATATTTTGGTTGGTAGACCTTGTCTTTCATTGCTTTAAAGATACTATTTCATTGATTTCCTGTTTTTATGATTTATGATAAATCATAAATCATTATTCACTTATGTGTCCTGCGCTGCTTTTTTCTAGCTGCTTTCAGTGATTTTTATTTGCCTTGGCTTTTGGTTTTTTTTGAATTTATCCTGCTTGGGATTTGGTGAGCTTCTGGAATCTGTAAGTTTATCTTTTACCAAATTTTAGAATTTTGACACCATTATTTCTTCAAATATATTTTTTTTCTGCCCCAATCTTTTTTATTCTCCTTTTAGTGCCTCAATTACATATATGTTAGATATTTCAGTATTTTCACACAGGTCCCTGGGATTGCATGTATATTTTTCCCAATCTTTTTTTTCTTTGTTGTTCAGATTAGATAATTTCTATCCATCTGTCGTCAAGTCCACTGGCACTTTTCCCTGCCATCTCCATTCCGCTGCTGAGCCCATCTAGTGACTTGCTTCTATGAGGTGTTGTTATTTTTCAGTTCTAAAATTTCCATTTGGTTTTTCTTTATAGTTTTGTTTTCTCTGCTAAGAATTCATATTTTTATTCAATTCGTGTTTATTTTCCTTTACCTTATCAAGCACAGTTTTAATAATTGCTTTAAAGCGTTTGATCATTCTAACTTTCAGGTCCTTCTCTCCACACTCTCCAACCTGCCTGCGTAGGCTTTTTTCTTTTCCTGGTTCTTTTCCCCATAAAGGGCTTCTCTTGGAGTTCAGCTGCACATCCTGCCATGCTTCTCTGAGAATGATTCCCACCCTTGGGGCAAAGCTAAGAGGAAAATAGACTCCTCCCCATGCAGATTGGCTCCCTTCCCCAGTCTACCTGTATTATTTATTTTCAGAGTGCCCTGGTAGCTGTTTGGGGTTCGGAGTTTTCCATTAGAATCTGCAGGAAGGATGGGCTGTGATGTCAGCACTGGAGCACCTCGGGCTTCCTTGTTGCTGTTATTGTTGTTGTTTTAATTAATCCTATATTTTCTGATCCCTTATAATCCACTAACAGATAATTAGGCAAGATTACTGAAAGGTTTGGAGTTCAAAAGCATTCAGAAAGATGCTGTTTATAACTTGGTAAAGGAGGACTGAATAGCACATAGAGGTATTTAGCATTCACACGCACGGCGTAACTGCTGTGTACCATGCGAGGAGGACAAAAAATAATTTCAGAGCTTACCTAACAACCTAGTGGACAATAGACTTGCTTCAATGAATAAAAATCAGCAAATAAAGATAATAGGCATGTTATTTGCCAAAGAAAGGATTTTTTCCTCAAGGATTTAAATACCACTTATTTAATCAGCATATTAGAGAGCCTTCAAAATATGAAGAATAGCACAAACACGTGATATAATTTAATTTTTGATCCTTCTTCAGATTAATAACACCGGAAAATCTGAATGTATGACACTTTACTGTATTTTATTGGCTAATTTTCTTTTTTATAAGTTTTTAATCCTGTCTAAGAAAACTTTAATTAAATATGCTTGCTGGTTTCTTTTTTAGTATTTTCCTTAAGGTGGCTGATGTGGGCTTCTCTAACTGCTTTTTCATTAAACCACAGACACTACCAGAGCAAGAAGAAGCCAGGAGAGTGATGGCGTCGAATATATTTTCATCTCTAAGCATTTGTTCGAGACAGACGTACAAAATAACAAGTATGCGGACATTCTCGAGAATTTTCGTGAGGGTGATGTCTGTAGGCACTTGCCTGTCTCTCCAGTTCCAGGTGGCCGAGGGGTCCCCTCCACTTGAAATGCAGTTTAATTATCATAATAATATTTGAAACTGATTAAAAGGGGGTAATCCAGTTAGAAATTATTATCAATCTTCACCTCTGTTTTTTTAGTAACCTCAAGCTGCTCCATTTCTATAAAGTAAAGGAATTATTTTGCAGTACGAGGGAAGGCTGCTAGTGGCTTACTGTGACCTTCCTCCAGCCCAGTTACTGAATCTTAACATATAATTTGGATAGAATTTTAATTTAAAAACTAATGAGCAGCTATGTAACATATCCCTAGATCCCCAGTCTACACACCCACACAGCCCCCTTGTTCTCTCATTGGCTCTTCAAAACGTTGAAACAATGGTGATCATCTTGCTTGTGCCCTCTGCTCTAGCTAACTCTTAAGTTTTCTCCCCTCTGGTTTTCCATTTGCTGAAGCATGAATATTTTAGGATATCAGAAGCAATGTGTGTTTTCAGGCAGGGCTGTGGGATTTTATTGAAACATTGAAACGCTTTTTTTGCATTTGGCGCAGTACGGTGTTTTTATAGCACACGATCGGCTGCCCCGGCTCCATTAGCCACCACCCAGCGCCTCCAGTTCTGAAGCCGAGCTGGGTTACTCCGCAGTGTGCAATGAAATTTCAGTAGTTTCTATTGTTTGGCTTATTCACTATTTTATTGCATTGCATTAGTTCTGAAAAAAAGGGTGATGGAAAACATTAGAACACCCCTGGACCAAAGTACTTTTTTTCCTGCTTAAGTGTAATACAAGCAAGTGTTACTAATGTGAAAATGTAAAATAGAAGATTTTTTAAAATTGACATTCTAAAGTCCTTGGCCCTATTTGTTTTATTAAACACAGTAAAAACAAAATTACATGTTCAGCAAAAATGTCTTTTCGCTACGAATTATATCTTGCTACCTATAATTTATTTTTAATTCACAAATGATTCTGATACGTCTCTTTCTCCAGGTTCATTGAATACGGTGAATATAAAAACAACTACTATGGCACGAGTATAGACTCAGTGCGCTCTGTCCTCGCTAAAAACAAAGTTTGTTTGTTGGACGTCCAGCCTCATGTAAGTAGACGGGACACTGCACACGACCATTTCCACGTGACGCAGATCTGAAGTTACCCACTTTTGGCATACACGTGGCTTTCCTAAGATGACAAAAGCATTTAAATGTAATTTGAGACATCTTTGGTGAGAAAAAATACCCATAATGTTATTAAGAAAGAGAAGTGGAGGAAGCCTCAAAATCTGTGTTTGTAACTCTTGATTATATTCAGTTTTTGCCACCTATGGTGACTCTTAGATATTTCTATATATTTTGTATTTTTTAAAGTATATACATCGTTACGTGCACAATGTATTTGTGTGTTAAGTGTCTGTAATTTTTAACAGTGCACAGTTTGGCTCTCAGTCCTTTCTTTGATTTTGGTTCGTACATCCCCTTGCAATATGAGCCCTGCAGAGCTGAGGGCATTTCACAGAAACTGTGCTGAACGCAATCCCGGCTGCAGCTGTCAGGGAGACCCTTGCCCGTCACCCAGGTAACTCTCAGGAACACCCTGGACTGGGAATGCCAGTGTGAAGCCATTCAGTTCCCTGTCCAGTCATCTGGCCTCCAGCTGATACCCAACCCACTGCGTTTTCCTCATCCCCAGGGACCACAGAGTCTCCTTCCCCAATGGTCGCACCCTGGGTGCACAACTCCAAATGCCAGAGTGACCTGCAGAAGCCCTTTGCGCCACTTAAGACAGGAGAATATGGAATAAGAGTCCCAACAATTGGCAGCGGGGCTGACTCCCGACTCGGCCCCAGCTGTGGACGGGGTCGTCTCGCCTGTGCGGAACCCCCCTTGCCACCTCTCTGCCGCCGTGCTGAGCCCTCAGGCTCAGGTCCCCACAGCGTCATTTCAACGCTTCCTCCCCGAGCCTCTCCCCTCCGCCGCACCAGCGCTGCCCACCCTCTCTCATGCACACACGTGCACATGTAGCCCGTCTGCCAGACCTTTCGGTGGAGTTAGGATTTATATTCATATTCCGAGAGGTCCTGACATACAGATCAGGAATAACCCTCAGCTCTCAGCCTTCTATCCGTCACCCTTGGCTGTAGGTGAGTCCCAGACGCGCAGTGGACGTAAGATAAGATATCTGATGAGGGCATGGGGACAGGCTTCCTGGGGAGCAGGAGGCTGCCCTTGCAGGGCACTCGGGAGGAAGGAATGAAAAAGGAGAACTCAGGCTTGGAAGAGGGATGGGCTTAAATGGGATGGCTGGAAGACCTACATGTTGGGTATTTGATCCAAAAACCAGTTTTGTGGTACTTTTAGCCACTTCTGTTCATATGGTGTATTTCAAAACATTTCAAAACACAAGTTGCATTCTCTAATTTCTTTTCAGGTGTGTTTGCTACATTTAATTGATAAAATAATAGTATATCGAAAGACCTACTCACTTTAATTAAGAGGATAATTTTGAGGAGTTATCTCCTTAGAAAGAAAACTCAGTAACTCATGATGCTATGAAGAAATATGAGAAAAGTTCTTTTCTTCCTTACAGACAGTGAAGCATTTAAGGACACTAGAATTTAAGCCCTATGTGATATTTATAAAGCCTCCGTCGATAGAGCGTTTGAGAGAGACAAGAAAAAACGCGAAGATTATATCGAGCAGAGACGACCAGGGTGCTGCAAAGCCATTCACGGTGAGTGTGGTGACCTCGGTGGCGGGGAACGAGCAGCAGGCAGAGCGTGTGTACAGCTGCAGGGCCCTCGGACAGACGCAACACGTGAAATTGTGAGCCAAAATCTGTAAAGGAATTGTATTTAGGCACATTTTGAACAATTGCACTTTTTATGCTTCTGTGGACAGATCATCATAGTAAATTGACTGAAAACTAATTTGTTCACTATTATGCATACATTTCAGACTTTTGTAGGCTGAACATTTATATGAACATTAGACCACTTAGTTTTCAGACTAGCTTTATTTTTGAAGCTAGAGATACCAAAGTTGGTTCCTGTTACTCATTAATATTAATAGTCTGAATGAAAAATTTAATAATTTGCCTTGCTTGTCTCCTTGTATCAACAATCATATTTAGCACAGTAAAAGAAAAAGCACCATTTTGGGAATAGGAAAAATAGACTAATATTATTTAAGAATAATATTTGTATTTCCTGTCGGTATTATCGGAAATGGTGATTTTGACTATAATGGCTTCTGGCAAGGCCTTTTATTGTTTTTGTTCTTAATCTTAATATGTTCTATCTTTGGACCAAAAATAAAAAGCAAAGAAGTTAAATGTCAAGAGCTTTTTATTTTCTCCTCCGCTTGATTAGCTCATCTTTAACCTTAGTCTGTATTAATCTGTAAACTGTTCGCTGTGGTTACAAAATACAGATCATGTTTTCAGTTGTCAATATTCTGTAAGTATCTTTCTTCTAAAATGCTGACAAACGTATCCATGCTGAGTTGGTATTGTCACACGACTTCAGCTCCTCGAGGCTCTTGAAGAAGAAAGTTAAATTTTCTGTTGCGAAATCTTATCAACATTGAAATGTAGACTGTGAAATTATTTCATTATGTTGCGATGTGAAGAGTTATGCTATTTATAAATTTAGAGGTTTCTCAATGAAGTTAATAAGTGATAAGATAAATAAATCTAAGGATTTGGCTGACATTTATATTACGAGGCCAACTAAAATACTTTCCGGCTTCAGAAATGTGAGACATCAAGGGCTCCTGAAACTCTTCGAACGAGACACAGGAAGAGCATGATAACTGTCCTTTTATTATATAAATGTTCCCAACTCTGAAAAAGGAGTTTAGATTATAAATTCCTTCCTACGAATAAGCATAAGTGATGCAGCCAAAGCATCAGAGTAAACAGTTCTTCTTTCCCCCAATAGCTATTGTAATACTGATGTACCCTGTAATTATGAATTAGTGACTAATTATCCTGAAATTCAGTGAAGGCAGGAGTTTTCACTCTTGTCTGACTCTTGCTTTGTCCAAACCAATCAGACCGATAATATTAGGAATTATGGCATCTGAAGAACTTGTCGTTAAAGGGGATAATTTTTATTTCTGGCCGAGGCGAAAGACTGAACTCAGAGCAGCATTAGGTAAACCGACTGTAGAGTGTTTGCATTGATGTGAAGTGAGGTCATTGCCTGGTTAACCAATTTTTAAAAAAAATACTTCCTTTTGTAGGAAGAAGACTTTCAAGAAATGATTAAATCTGCACAAATAATGGAAAGTCAATACGGTCATCTTTTTGACAAAATTATCATAAATGATGATCTCACCATGGCGTTCAAGGAACTAAAAACAACTTTTGACAAATTAGAGACAGAGACCCATTGGGTACCAGTGAGCTGGTTACATTCATAATAACTAAGGGAAATGTCCACAATCACCTTTTTTATAATAGAGTGCATGATTAAATCAGTTACCAGTCTGGTGTAGGGTTTTTAAATCTGTATCACTGTCATTGGTGTATAATCTTGGTGAAAATTGAACACCGCTTTTGTTTGTATCTTTTTATAGCCTTATTTGAAACATAGTGTGTGAGTATCAGATCCGAAATCAAAATTTGCACAGTACTCTGAGTATTCTGAGCAAAGCTTTGAACCTTCTGGTTGTCTTTAATGTAGCTCTGTCTCCAAGATGAGACTGAAGTTTTTAAAGAGACGTAGGTAAAGTTCATGCTTCAGCCAGTCTCAGACGTGGATGCTGCCGTTCAGTTTGCATGTTAGCAGTTGACAGCATCAGCTTAGCACCCTGGAGCAGCCCCAGACAGGACAGCTTTGCTGTTTCTGGGTGGATCATCACAGACTAGCTGGGCCGGCAGCGAGAAGGAGTCCTCATTCTGTGCAAAAGGTGCAAACTTCTTCTATATCCACAGTATGTTCACAGTCGTATGCATTTGGAAAATCTTTCTTAAAGGAGTAATTGAAAATTTACCTTGAGTGAATTTTCATGTTATATAGTAGCTTGAGAATTCCTTATGAGTACATGTCCATGACTCAACAAATAATAAGGGAAAACAGACTTTAAAAAATTATTATGTATAACTCAAAACCTCTCCTTACGGCATTAATCCTAGTAAGAATGGTAGTATCTTGGGGCAAGAAATGATTACAAGGAACATTTGTATTTGTAAATCTTCGGAAGACATTTCTGGAGTCACCAAAAAGGTTTTTTTTTTTAAAAAGGTTTTTTTTTTTAGCCAGCTTTGGATTTTCCCAATAAGTTATAAGAATGTGATTCCTATTCTAAAAAATGTAGACATGTTTTATGTTATTACTGATACCGTTAAAGAAAATGTGATCATTTTTTGAAATATGTGCAATTCATCACCATATCTTTAAATTGTACTAAGATGTGTTTAAGAAAACTTTCCATGTATTGTTAACTTATTTTTTGGTCATCAAAATGATTCTTTAACACTGTCCAGATACCATCCAAACCTTGCCATTGTTAAAGAAGTTTAAGAAAGACTCTCGTATTGTAAATATTTAGATGGGATCTCTCACTTTTCTTTGATACTACTGATCTCTAGCAAGTGAATTACATAGTTGAAAATACTAGAAATATGTGTAAGTTCTATAAGAGAACATGCCTGCCATTCTTGCATGCAGTAAGACCCTGCTGGTTGAAAATCATTGCATCTGTGACTTTCAAACAGGGAAAAAAATGTTCTTTTTTGTTGATTTGTAAAGAGAGTTTAGATGTCATGTTTAAAGAAAAATAGAATGTAGTGAAATTTTATATATTTATGAAATATTTGAAAGGCATATTTTTTTAAATATCAAATGGGGATATTGATAAAATAAATTGATTGTATGTAAAGATGTCATAATATAAAATAGTAGTTTTATAATCCGGTAAACATTCCATGTAAATATTTGACCTTGACAGAATAGATCCACAAGTGCATTACATGCATGTCGCACATTCGAGAGTATTCGTCACTGAATTTCCTTGAGACGTGTCTAATTACATATTAGAAACATAGACAGAAACTACTCCAATGGCCTCGATACACACTGACACCAAAGTAGTAGATAATCAGACTAAACGTTATGTGATAACATAATCCAAACAACGAATTCTAATTTATTGCTTAAATAGCAAGCAATTTCGTTTAAAAAGAAAAAGCAAGGAGGAGGATTACCAAATTCGATACTAAAGCCATGCTTAGTTGTGTGGCAGGTCCAACAGAAGGACGAGTCTTAAGTAGATGGTTTGGGTGGAATATTCCCTTGTTTGAACATTGACTAAAATTTCCTATAAACGAGGACTTCTTGGACGAAGAATGATGAGAAATGTGTAATTTAGGCAGTCATCTGAATAATTTAGAGAATTCAAATTCTTTACCCTGAAATACCCAGACTGATTTTTTTTTTTTCATTTGCAGATCATTTCTTCAATTCTTTACTTTGGGGATAGAGTGTAGGGTAATGGAAACAGAGTCCTTTTTGTGGCAGTAGGAATGGGGATGGTATAAAAATGTAACTGTCCAGACCTCCTCCTTTATTAGACCAGAGCTAGAACAATTTTTTTTTTTTTTTAAAGAGACAGGGATCTCACTCTGTCACCCAGGCTGAGTGCAGTGGTGCGATCAGAGCTCACTGCAGCCTCCGACTCCTGGGCTCAAGCAATCCTCCCACCTCAGCCTCTGGGAGAGCAGCTGGGACTACAGGCATGAGCCACCAGGCTCAACTCTAGAACAATATTTTTAAGATAACCAAAAGAAAGGGGCGCTTTGGCCATTTGAGGAATCGGGTAGTATACGTAGTCTTAAAAGTGGTGTTTATGTGGCTATCTTGGTGCTTAGAGATTTGATTAAAATTTAACAAGGCAGGGCCAGCTCCAAGGGTTCAGTGCTAACTGTAGCAGAAGGCCCTTGACTCCGTACTTCCTTCACCCCCGAGTAGCACTGTGTCCAGCACCTTCGACAGCCCGCTCCTGGGATAATGGGGTGTCAGCCCTAGTTGAGAGAAGAGGAATGCTTACTTTTTTTAAGTTCATGTATTTAAAACCCAAGATGGAGAAGGAAATTCTGTACTCCCATAATTGGCAAATTAGAGTTGGTTAAAAATAAAAAGGTGAAATTGAACTATAATTTTTTACCATAATTTTATTGTCCAATATAGAAGTTTTTGGTATCTTTGAGGCTGCCTTTTCTGCTATTGTGTGATTGAATGTATCTAAATTTTTATAATTTAACATTGACAAACATGTAAACTTCTCATAGACTTACAAAACTATGTCGTTACAATCTTCCTGAAGATACAGATTTTTATTATTTATTTTCTTTTTGACTAGTAAAGATTTATAAGTAAATGTAATAGAAAACCTTTGATCTTAATAAAGTTATCTTCAAATGACGTGTATATTACTTGAAAATTGTTTTTGCACTTGGTTATCCTATTCTGTTATACTGTTATTCTGTTCTATCATGCTGTTTCCCATAGTAGAACAAATTCTATTTTCTATGATATGAAGTGATGTATTGGGACTTGGCCATTTCTAAAATTAAATTTCAATTTTTTTTTTAAATCAAACGCTACTTTCATTGAGGTTGTTGGAGGGATGGATTCACCAGTCTTGCTCTTACCCATGCAGTACAGCAATTTAAAGATGTGGAGAAAAACAGTGGGATGGAAGATCCAGGACCATCCACGTTGGGAACCCCCCACCCTGCCTTCTACCCCTCCTCCACATCAGGACCAGAGTGTTACACGCATCTTCTTCCTCAATTCCATTTAGGCAAAACTAAACTTTTTCAGCTGTGCATATGAGAACAAACTGTCATCTGCCTATACAGACAAACTGGCATTGACCTTGTGCGTCAGTGGTTGAGCCAGTTGGCTCCAGCTCTGCCCCCGTGAAATTGTACAGTGCAGCATTCAACCACATGGGATGTGGAGCCAGAATTCTTGAGCTCACATCCTGGTTTTTCCTGTCACCTGCTTTGCAACTTTGGGGAAAAAAACTGAATTTCTCTAGTCTTCATTTTCTCATCAGAAAAATGGGGATAATATTAATAATAGCAGTTACCTCATGGGATTGTTGTGGGCATGAAATGAAAGAATCCATGTGAAGTACTTGGAACAAAACCTGGGATAGAAGTAGTCAGTAATTGTGAGCTCCTGTTTTATAATCATTTTCATCACATCACACAATTTAAAAGTAGCTGTGTAAATATTCTTAATCACACTGCATAAGCAACCCCCTATTAGTAAATCTACTGGAAGATTCCCAATAAATAATTTCTTATTGCAAACTTTATTATTTAAAAAAATTCCATTGCTTCCCACCAAGTGATACACCAGGAACTAGTTAGGTAATTCCCAATAGGAAAGTGAACCAATTTTTTTTTTTTTTACCACTGGATATGCAATGTAATTGATAATTTGAAAGAAATGTCCCTTAATTGTATTAATGCCCTTTCTTCTGCTGTCACCCTTTTTTTCTAAATGCTTGATCAGTTACACTTAAGCTTCTGGAAGCAGAAAATATTTTAGTTTTATAACAGCTGTCTTATACACATAGACAGGCCTTATCACTGCCTGACCAAATTGTATTTAGTAACCGTGGAACAGCCATATGATTCCCATATACTATCTTATTTAATCCTACAACTGTCTTATATGAAAGGTACTGTCTTCATATTTTACAGCTGAGAAAAATGAGGAGCAGGGCTTCTGTACCTTGCCCAAGGTGACACAAGGGATGAGTAGCAGAATCGGGCTTTGAATGTCGTCTGGCTTCTTCCAGCTCCAAGCCATTTTCACTACATGGTGCTTCCTGGTGTTGCTGTAACTTGAACCAAAGCTGGAAACAGGTGAGATTTGGATTGAGGGGTGATCATCCTCCTTATATATATGCAGTTTGCAAAGAGTTTTCTCAGAACATTGTTGCTTTAGGTGTAACTTGATGTTATCTATGCCTGTATAACTGGGTTAATCTTCAAGCAGTGGCTGTTATCAGAAATGTACTAAAATTTATATGGCGTGATAGGCAATTTCCTGTTTAGTCTGCCTGAGTCCCAGTCCTCAGTGGTGAGTCATGATTGGTCTAAGTCCGTCATGACAGTCTCCTCTTTGCAGTGTTTGATCTGGGCCGGTCATGCTACCAGTTGTAGGTGATGTCTGTTGGAAGAGCTGTGAGAAAGACACATTTCCCTGATGTAAACAAACAGCTACATGAAGTGAAAATCCTTTCTGCCCCTGCCCCATCTTCCCACTGGAGATGCTTCAGTTATGTTGCGATGCTTGTCAATATGGCAGCCATAACCCCAACCCTAAACCAGAGGATGGCAAAAGCCAATCTACTCAGGATGACTGAGTAGAAAAGGGGAAAGATCCTAAATCCGTAATACCATTGAGCTGCTGAACCCATCCTGGGACCTCTTTCCTCTAACTGTTAAATTAGAAAATGTTCTGATGGTTTAAGTCCCTGTTTCCTTGCTGCTAAGGGCACTCTGAATTGAAAGCAGCACCCAGAAGCAACGCAGGCCACTCTCAGTATCTGCTTTCTCTCATCAAAGGTTGTCTTTTGCTGGGCTGTCACATGCCCTGCATTGACACAGTTACTGAACTTTAAAACACTCCGGAACCCATAGGGTGTGACAAAGCAAGACACTCCATTTACATTTTATTTTTCTTGGGTTCCACTTTTTTTTTCCCCTCCACAATATGGATAAGAATTTAACCTTAAAATTCAAGTTGGGAGAAAGTTGTTCTTACGTTTTTTGGATTTACAAATTTATCATGGTTGTGTTCTAACTTTATTGGTCACTCCAAATCTCTTATAAATAAAAGGCTAACCAAACACTAGCTGAATCTACCATTTTGAACAAAGTCATGCCTACTTATTTGTTTAATTTGACTTGGGCAATAAT